ACACTTGCGTATTGGCATTGTGCAGTGATTTGTTAATGAGTCAGGTAATAACCGGGTGCAAAGAGCACTGGAGTGCTGAACCTCATAGGAAACCATCACCAAGGAGCTCTTAACTGAGGACAAACTAACAATAGCTGCTGATCTCTAACCGGCCGCCATTTCAATAAACCTGTAGTAAGCGTTGGCGTAAAGGAAACTGTAATGCAGGCCATACACAGGTCGATTATTTATTTTTTTTATTTAAATATTTATTATTTTTTCACAGTAATAACAAAAAAAAAGAACACTTTCATCTCATTCACAAAAAAATTACAATTTTTCTTATTACTTTATTTTTCCCCTTCTTAAAACATTACCCCCTTCCCCCCCCCAACCCCAACCCCCCCCCCCCCCCCCCCCCCCCCCCCCCTCTGCATTTTTCACTACCTTTTTTTCCAAAGCAAGCATATCCTACCCATCTATCAATTCTATGTCATTCTACATTTCATTTTCTCGCATTTGTTACAAAGTTTTCCCATTTTTCCCATTTCGCGGAAAATACCTCCATCTTGTCGTCCTGCATATAGTGTATAGCTTCTCCATCTTACTAATCCAGTTTACTCTTTCTATCCAATCTTCCTCCTTTGGTACTTCTATTTTCTTCCAATACTTGGGGATCAGACTCTTTGCTGCGTTCATATAATACCTAAACTTAATTTTTTATATTTGTTAACTGATAGCTTTGAGCTGTGCAACAAACACATCCCTGGATCTAACCCGATGTTCATTTCAGTAATGGTCTCTATTAAATGTACTATTGTTTTCCAGAATATTTGAATTTTTGGACATTCCCACCATATATGATACACTGTTCCCCACTTATCTTACATTCTACACTCGGTGTAATGTGCCATCTTGTCAAACATTTATAATTTATTTCTACTTCTCTCAAACTTACGCTTTCGTGAACTAATCTGTTTTTTTTTTTTTCGTTTTTCTTCGTCTAATACCACCCCCATATCTCTTTCCCATTTTACTATGTGCTTTGGTTTAGTATTTGTGTCTAATTCTGTGAGGTCATTTATTAGCCAAATTTTCGTCGGCACGAAAAATTGGCTGATATTCACGCCATTAGTGGGGCCAGCCCGTCGGCTGTTTTTCGCGGATCTTCTCATTTATTTTTATCGGTCATACTGGAAAATCCACGTAAAACGGCCGTTTTTCGTGGACATTGGTGGCAGCATCGGCAACCTGTGTGATTGATATGTGATCAGTTTTAAAGGGATGAGGCGGCAACCCTAGCTCCAGTGAGTGCTGGAGGTGGCAGAGCAGACAGCGGTGACTGACAGCCACCAGCTCTCTGCTCACGGAGCGCTGAGAACTGAGCGATCAGTGGTGTTTGATCGCTCAGTTTTCAGTCTTAGAGCCGGCAGGGGACAGATGCAGCATCAGACCGAAAGTATATTTAAAAAAAACAAACAAACCCTAAACTTCTCTTTTAATATGGGTTTGGCCGACTGACCCCTTTTTGCAGTTATAACACTTCTCTGGAAAGGGTTTCCACAGGATTTTGAAGTTTGTTTGGACTTTCTGCCCATTCAGCCTGTAGAGCATTTGTGAGGTCAGGCACTAATGTGGATAAAAAGTCCCAAATCGCAGTTAGTGTTCCAGTTCATCCAAGCAGGAGTGTCCTAATAGCATCATGGCCCCCTGGGCAAAGTAATATACTGGGGCCCCTGCCAGCCTGCTCCAATTTATGCATCTACTCTCAAGAATTAAAGTATAAATAGTTGATAGAAGTAAACCTATATTTGTTAGTACTTTTAATAAAATCAGTTTTAAACAGTAAGAAAACATGCCATAAATCAGAGACTAATCAACATAAAGGGAACAGTACAGGGAGGAGGTAGAAGGGGGCAGTACAAGGGGGGGGGATCAGAAGGGCACATTACTGGGATTAGGAGGGCACAGTTGTGGGATCAGGAGGGCACAGTACAGATTCCGGAATGCTGCCCGGGACACAGCCATCCTAGGACATCTTAGTTAAAAGCATGACTGTCCCAGAAAATCCGGGACAGTTGGCAAGTATGATATAATGCAAAATTATTACGGGACTCCCAATGCACCTGGGGCCCATAGGGCCCATAATGTCTATGCATTAAGACAGCCTTGCATCCAAAAAAATGTTATGTTGACATGTGCCCTGCTGATTTATGTGTAGTATAGAGTGTTGCTTTTTAAATGATTGGTCACACCTATGCAGTTTGCTTTTGATCTGTTACTGCAGTGCTTTTTGCGGTGTGTTTTGCATTTTTGCACACTCCTTTTTTGAAACATTTTTTGATGCATTTTGTGTTTTTTCATTTTTTACCCTTTTTTTGGGGCCAATTTGTTGTTGGGCACATTTCAAAATGTGTAACAAAAGCGCATCAAATTGTAGAAAAAGCATGTAGTGCATTTTTGGCGCATAGTATCCATTGCAGTCTATTGAAATAAAAACACGCCATTTTAAGTTTAAAAAAGTCCCTGAACCTTTCCAAAAACGCAGCAGCTGAAAAAAAGCATTGATGTAAACGTGTCCCATAACAAACCATGTTAAATGGACTGTAGTGCGTTTCTGCAAGCAGCACCAAAAAACGCATAGGTGTGAACCAGACCTTACATTTGGTGTTTCTTCTTCACATAACAGAAGCAATAACATGCAGTCCATGTCTGGGTGACGTGCTTTGGGTTTGATTGCACCACTTTCTAAGGTTTGTGAGCCTGAGAGATGTCTGTGCCAGGCCCCTGATAGTCCGCAGGCCGACATGGGAGCCCCTTGTCATGAAGAAGATGAAATATCCCTTGGAATATTAGGTCCTTTGAATCCGTCTGTTTGCTGCGCTGCATCTTATAACCATTCTAGCAGGGTAAGGCCATAGTCCTGAGACCCTGAGTCCCAGTGGTGCCAATCCACAACTCACTTGACAAGACCTAAATATCAATAAAACCTAAAAAAATATAGATTTTGTTGATTTGAAATGCTATACCGATTTTAAGTTTGTCACATAAAAAAAACACAAGAATGATTCAGACTTTGTCCCCATTGTTAAAGCGCATGAAAGCGGCATAACATCAAACAGCAGAATTTTTTAAAGCCCAACTCCAGCAGCTCTGTAATCATTAATGCATCACAATTCTAAAACTGGCACTCCTGCGTCTTTAGATAAATTATCTGGGAAGTAAAAAATAAACTTTATGCTTTCCAGGTCATTTTCTCCTGCATTGAGATCAACCTGTTTTTTACATGGGTTTAGCTGCGTTTACATGCATTACATACATGTGTTTAGCTGTATTAAGAGTTTCTAATCAAATTCTAGATATATAAAATTCTATTTTTCCTAAAACCAGCTAGAATGAAAATGCAAAATGTAAATAACTTGTAAAAATCACAACCTGCATTTATATGCGTCTAGAGGGCATTTCTAAGTGTAGGTTTGACCGTGTCACTGTAAATGAAGCCCAAGCCCAACTCCAGCAGCACTGTGTTCATTAATACATAATAATATTTATTTTTTAATGTGGTTCTAAAGGCAGAAGGTTTTTCACCTTAATGCATTCTCTACATGAAAGTAAAAAACCTTCTTGTGCAGCTCTTTTCACCCCCCCCCCCCCTCAGGCCCACCTTTTACTTACCTGAGCCTGATGTCAATCCAACGTTGTGCCCAAGAGCAGATTCGCTGCGCTCTCTCTCCACACTGGCTCAGAGGCAGCAGTGGGAGCCATTGGCTCCTGCTACTGTCAGTCATAGCCAGTGAGCAGAGAGTAGGGGGCGGGGCTGAGTGCTCTGTGGGTCAAGTGTAGCACAGGATTGAGCCAGCATAAGTGCCCCCATAGCAAGCAGCTTCCGTAGGAGGGGAGAGCCATGAGTGCCAGTGGGAGACCCGAGAAGAAGAGGATTGGGGTTCCAAAACCATTGCACAGAGCAGGTAAATATAACATTTTTTTTAATCTCTCTCTTTACAATCACTTTAAATGCAAAAAAAGTAAGTAGCTGAATGTGACTTGGTATCAACCTCTTGCAGTCTACTGAACAGCAGAGCTCAGAGAGGGGAAAGCAGCCCAAGGAGCAGTCAGATCTGCTGAAGTACTCACATGCCAACAATGACATGTTGATAGTATGAGAGAGCAGAGTGACAGACAGATGAGCTAATTAGTGTGCTGCATTTCTGTTCATTGTCCACTGACCGGGTAGGAGTGGAGAGGGCAGCTGTAAGTGAAAGTGAAACTGCAGCAGAGAAATATCCAGTCTACTCCCCTTCTAGGCAGTACTGTGTTATGTGGCAGAGCTGTGTACATCTCAGGAGTGGATGAACAGAAGCAGAAATCATTTGGCTGTGTATTTACCTGTTTGTCTGGAGTTTAGTGTTAAATCTGACTTTTATTAAAATTCACATTCGCATCTTTGCTTGCTGATGTGAAATCATCTAATACGTGGTTTTTGTGTTTTGTTTTTTTATTTACTTACCTTTCTTGTGTCGACTTGCTGGTTTCCCTGAAGGCAGTGACAATGTAGCCCAGGCTGTACTGATGCCCCCTGGGAAGACTACGTCATCAGTGTCTTCTGGAAGGTCTCATACCTAATCTTCAAAATCTTGTACTGCCCATGTGTGCCTGATGTCATGCAGCTCAACTCACACATGCGCTGTACAAGATTACATTCATCTGTTTCATAAAGAAAAAAAAAAATGCCTTCCCTTTAGATCTCATGAGATCTTGGGGGACAGCATTTAAAAAAAAAATGTAATGTTGTGTGCCGCGAGATAAGCCGGATTATACCATATGCTCCATCATTCTTATGTGCAATACAACTAGATTGTGAGCTGATCCTGAAAAGAAATATTCAAAATGGCGGTGTGGGAGCAGGGGTACAGGCAGCGTGAAAAAGATGAAAGGAGGAGGAGAGGCAGGATAGAGGTAAGTGGGTGTATTTGTTTTGGTTTCATGCCTTTTTCTATAAAATGGAGGAAGGGGGTCCTCTGTAGCCTCCCTGGAGGTATTCCTGAGTGTAGCTCGGGGTAAAGTTTCAGTACCACAAGCAGTAACCCCGAGCTACACTCGGGCTTACCATGCGGCGCTGCTCCTCGATCACTTACCTTGTCCTGCGCTCCCGCGATGTCCCTCCTGCAGTGTCCCCAGCAAATTAATCCAGCGGATGCCGGCATCTGTCATCTGGGTTCCGTCCCCTTTGAGCGTCGGGACGTACGGGGATGGAACTGGCGGGAAATTTGAAAATGACAAAAAGTGACATTCACTAAAATCACTAAAATCACATAGTAAAACATAACTGTATCAAACCATTTCACATACATTTTGTCCCGAGTGCTTTGTCCTGTGCCCTGCCTGCATTTTTTTACTGTTCTTTCTGCCTGGAAACTGAGAAATGTCCATGGCGTCCAAAAAGCGTCCCTTTAGGTCAAAAGCGGTTTAAGACCGGCTAGAGAACAGCGAGAGTAAATTAGAACCACTTGCAGAATTTAATGATTTGTGGGGAAATTCGTCATCAGACACTGAAAACGATTTTGCGACTTTGCTCAGTGATGTGCGAACTTGGCGCTTCATTTCAAATTTCAGTGTTTTTTGGTTTGATTAATTATTGAATTAAATTTATTATTATATTATTATTTTTTATGATTATTTATTAAATTATAATTTATGATTTTGTGTTTCAAGTTTTATCCTACCCGGGATCTTTACTAGACTCTTGTTCGGACAGATTTCAGTGAGTTATTCCGAAAAATTACTGGCCTACAATAAAAAAAAATACATATTTCCATGCATAAAAAAAGAACCGCTTTAAGCACAGAAATATGGACATAATCAGACCGCTAGGGAGGTTAAGCACAGTTGCCGTACTTTCTGGATAAATTTTACTTATTGCCTGGAGGTGCTGTGTAACCGCAGTTAACTGTCGCACTTATCTTACAATTACCCACCTATTGTCCCACAATGTGCTCTGTACTGTTTATAAATTATATTTTATTAACATTTTATGAGTCAGTCAATATCTACAAGGTCACACAGTCAGGTTTGTTTGCTGTGTATTTCCTACCCGCCATCTACAAATTGTGTTTGCATTATTTCTCTGCTTTTAATTTTCCATTTGCAAGTAAATGTCGACTATACCAACACCCTCCTATTCAAACAATAATGGCAATATAGAACATTCTGCTTCAGTAATAAGCTATGAAAAAAACCCATCAGTGACAGCTGATGAATTCAAAGAGCAAGATGTTGTGTTTGTTCAAAGCTGAAATCTGAGGAAATTATAAAACTACCCTTGCAGTGGGGCTCCCCTGACCTTGCAAGGGTTAAATGCTCATTTTTGTCTCTAGGGAACATTAGAAGAGACGTTTTGCTTTCTTTTTTTTTTTTTTTTTTAATGATACTTACCTAGGTGGATGCAGCATCAATCCGATGCTACATTTGTCCCCCACTGGTTCTAAGGGTGAGAACTGAGTGATCAGACACCGCTGATCGCTCAGTTCTCCCTGCTGCTCTGAGCAGAGAGCCGGTACTGTCAGTCTCTGCCTATCTGCTCTGTCCCAGTGCTCACTAGAGCGCTGGGCTGTTAAGGGGGAGGGAGTGGCTGGCCCAGGCTCTGAGCTAGGTGTCGGTCAAGGCTCCTGGGTTCTACCATATGGTCAATATCTTTCCCCAGCTTGGACTGGCTGAGTGACGTCAGTCGACAGCAGACGTCAGTCCGAGTGACGTCAGTCTGATGGCCTCTATGACACATAGCCTCTGAGGCTGTTTCAACACATTACAGAGGCACAGCCTTTCTGTTGCCACCATCAGAAAACTCTCCCCGAAAAGGGAGAAATTTCCAGAGAGATAATTGCAAACCAACTGTAGGAGATCAGCACCACTAAAAAGCCACAAAGGGTGAAAAAAAAAATGGCAAGTGCTTACGATACAGATACTTTTGCAAACTAAATGTAATTCCCTTAACCATTACATCCATTTTGAATGTGAAAACAATATATTGTTGCTGATCATGACAACTCATGGGCCCCCGGGCAATAGGGGATCATGGGGCCCCTGTGTCCTTTCCCAAACTCAAAAAAATCCTATGAAAAAGGTACCAGGGGCATCTCATGGGGCCCCCTACTGACCCCAGGCCCTCGGGCCGTGCCCGAGTTTCCAAATGGTCATTCCGCCCCTGCTCCTGGCTGAAAACGGTTCACAGAAGTGCAGAATGAGCTGCACTTCTGTGATCCACAGGAGAAGTACAACCAAACGAGCTTTGGCTGTACTTCTCCTTCCCTTGGCACCTGGCACTTTCCTTTGATGCCCTGGGTTGTGGGTAGGCCCTCGGTGTCCTCAGTTATTACTATTATTATTATTATACAGTATTTATAAAGCGCCAACAGTTCGCTCAGCGCTGTACATTACAAAGGGGGACAGAACATGTGATAGAACAATACCAATACAATGCAAAACATGAGGGGATCGAGGGCCCTGCTCTTTCGAGCTTACAATCTAGGAGGGAGGGGATGGTGGCACAGGAGGAGATAGCTGTGGGGGATGGAGTGGTAGGAAGAGTGGAGGAGGTCGGCAAGTTAGCAGGGGGTGGGGTAGGCTTCCCTGAAGAGATGGGTTTTCAGGGTGCGCCTAAAGGAGAGGAGAGTAGGTGATAATCTGATGGGTTGGGGCAGGGAGTTGCAGAGGATGGGTGACACCCTGGAGAAGTCCTGGAGGCGGGCATGGGAGGAGGAGACCAGGGAACTAGAGAGAAGGAGGTCTTGTGAGGACTGCTGATCCTGCATTGTATGTGATGACGCCAAAGTGTGTCTGACAAAAGGAGCACTGAAAAGAAGCAGCTTTGGGCCTAACCAATCATATAAACTCTATACATATTAAGTGTTTTCAAATCTCAAAATGACCTATGAGAGTGTTAGTGGATGGAAGGAACTAAGTTGAAATTTGGTTTTGAATTGATTGGTCATAGCAGCTCACAGATTTTAAACATACATAATTTTGGGGAGCCGGTTGCACAGAGAAGAGGAGCCTGCAGGAATGAGGGATAAGTAAATCTGTTCTTTAAGGGTACCCTTTACAAAAACAAGCCTTTTTTTTCCCTTGCACTGCATGAGTAGTTCTACAGTTTCCCTGGAGTTCAACTTTAAAAAAGAAGTTTGGCCAAAGCTTTTTTGGCCATACTTCTTTTCTGGGTCACAGAGATGCACTTACTTGTGCCCTCCTGTGAGCCAGAATTGGCCAAGAGTGGGCTAAAGTCTGCTGATGTCATAGAGCTGCTCCAGGCTGTGGAATGATCCCGACAATAATTTTGGGATACATTTGAATGCCTGACCAGCAGCTGGCTCAGCCTCTCAGCATGTCAAGGGGTAGAAGGGGCAGAGCAAAGAGCTGGTGATTGACAGTCACTGCTCTCTGCTCAGAGCAGACCCAAGATCAGCAGTCATGTGATCATTTAGTTGTCAGGCTTAGAGCGGCTGGGGACAGCTGCAGCATTCAACTGATGCTGCAGCCATAGTAGTGAGTATGTATATGTAAATATTTGTTTTATTTATTTTAATAATCCTATACTTCTCCTTTAATTAGCAGAGGGTTCATGGAGTTGTTTAAGTTAAAATATTTCACTTTTTTCTGAAAAAGATAGAGAAAGGATTGTCATCACTTGTCTGTAAGGATTTTGTTAGAAACACCAATATTGATCTCCTGTAGTCTCTGCAGCAAAAGACTAAACAGAACATCATATTGCCATCCTGCAGAAAACATTGTCTCCGCTGGCTCAATGAGCTCTGCTGCTTATAGCTGTCATTAGAATTAGGTGTATGCTGAGCCTGAATTGGCCAAAAAGTGGAGAGAATTTTGAACGGCTCCTGATGAAGTGGCTTAGATTCTTGCCATGGGCAGTCCTGCCGATGATCTGAAAATCGAAGAGGCTGGGTTTAAGATTGATGACCAAACAGAAGCTGCATCCAGTTGGTTCTGGTTCTGCTTTCTGACAGCCACACATGTCAGAATACAATAGCTGGTAGGAGAGATTCCTCCATCTTCGCTGTTTAGCATGGGGGGAATTTCTAGGACAAAGGAGATCTTACAGTGTATAGATTTAGGTGGGGTCTGTATACACATGCCATTATAGCCTATGAGCTAGGATCTAAATCTTCCTTCTCCAGGTCAGACCATATACCAAATTCTAATGAGCGATATGAGCTCTGGAGGGGGCGATTGCTATGTCAGTCTCTGGCAGGCTAGGCAGGAGGTACACTTTTTTTGAGAGGCCAGTCTGTATGTGGAAGGGTCACTCGTGTTTTTTTTTTTTTTTTTTCTGTATCTAAACATGCTCTGATCATTTAGGCAGCCATATAACATCTCCATTATGTGCTCATTAAAAATTCCTAAATTTATTTTACAATAGTATCCCAGTCTTTATATTCGCTTCATATAGTTCCCTGCAGACCCTGATTCAATCGGAGAGGGGAGATATCATAATGTAAGGCTTCGCTACATTGAACTGTACACAAGGAACTGGCTAATAGAAATGTGGAGCATAGGACTGACCTCATCAGTATCTTTCTACTCCTTCTCTATCCAATCACATGCGGTGGTAGCCCCTGAGCAAGCTGTATTGCTTTAGTAGAGAACAGCGAGAGAAAATGGCCATGCTGTCTGATAGGGGGGTGTAGATTAGAACGCTGGTTGAGCAGAATTGCACAATATTAGCAGATAAAATAATTCACATTTTTTTACATTTCACCTGAGAATTGTTTACCTTTGTTTCTGCTTTTATGTTATATCCTCTTATTTTAGCTCTCTGTCAGACTTGCCATACCTTAGGAAACCCAGCTGTTGCTTGCCTGTCAAGCTTTACTCTGTGTGAATGAATGTTTACATTACCTTCTGTTTGTTCAACCTTAGGCTAGCCATAGCCAGCTTGATAAAAGGATAAAAGCAAGCAATGCAACCAATCCCAGGACTGCTTGTCCCAGTCAGACAGCGAAACCGTGTGATTCTAGCACTTGTCTGCCTTGCTTTTCTGAGTGCCCCGTAACATAGTTTTATTACCTGGTGACCCTGCCATGAAGTCTGTTATTATTCAACTTCCTTTAACAGACCAAGCTGTCCAGCTAGAGGTTTGATACAAACCATTAAACACTGACCGGGGTGCTTACAGTGATCAGCTTTTATTTATTTATATTAAAACTTTAGGCCTGTGGCACACAGGAGTAAAAATGCTGAATTTTTTACTGATCTGAAAAGAGATGCATTGTTGTTTATGGAGCATTGCACACAGCTGAGTAAAGATCAGTAATAGAGCACTGAGTACAGAGCAGTAAAACAA